AACCCTAACCCTAACCCTAACCCTAACCCTAACCCTAACCCTAACCCTAACCCTAACCCTAACCCTAACCCTAACCCTAACCCTAACCCTAACCCTAACCCTAACCCTAACCCTAACCCTAACCCTAACCCTAACCCTAACCCTAACCCTAACCCTAACCCTAAACCCGGCGTCTGAGCACGTTTCAAGAGGCATTATGTTTGCGATGCAAAGACCACCGCGAATCAGTTCTCCCTTACGTTGTTTGCCAAAGTGACATCTAAACGACCCAAGGAGGCTGTTGGATGTCAGTATCGTGCTCCTGTGTTAGAGTTTCGTTACCGCGATGGCTTAGTTAAATGCCAGTTCGGCAACTGCCGCTTATGCGCGTGGTAAATTTTACCCTTATGACCACTGGACTTGGGAGGATCGGACCGAGCCTTGAGGAAGGCACGATGTATAGTTTAGGGCCGGCATGGCCAGCGTAGTCGGTACATAGCGTGTTCGCGCGTGTCAGTAGTCACTCATCCCTGCTATACGAGGTTACTTGTCGTCGTCTTCTCCAGGAAGTACTGACCGTCCCACCACCCACCAGATTACAAACGAAGGCAGTACTCTTTCCCACTCGACCACCATCGTTCTCTAGTCCCCCACCAATGACCATGATCCCTACTGCTGTGTGAGATAAGAAAGTGCAGGTACGCCCTCTTGCACGAGCACCAACACCCACCCAGTACTACTTATAAGCTCGCCACCCATAAACACGTGCTCGACCATAGCCAGTTCGGGCTCTTGACGCCCGCAGTGCCAGATTGCAGGTGATCTGAGCACTTTTGCGGTGTCGGAGTCGCGCGGTGTCGCGCGGTGTCAGCGATTTCCGGTGGCTGTGCGGTGACGGGAAAGTCAAGCACCTGTGACGGGATCGCGCTGCCCCCGAGATAGACTATTATCGTCTGCATGTGTATTTAGTCGTTCTATCTCGCTATGATACATGTCCCACGATATCATTCTCGGTGAGATCAGCCGCCTTGTCACAGATGATTCTGCCCTCTCCCTTCTTTCATCCACACAAGTTCCCGAATTCGTCGATCGCTGCTGTGTACTCTGATCGGACTTCGCGTTTATTCAGCAGGGAAAACGTAGCTCTGCTAACGCTCCACCTGTCATTCCCATCACGCATACAAAGTAGCTCTCTAGCCGAATGCGTATCTTGATCCCTCTACTCAATGACCTATGGACTGGCCTCAAGAATACTATATGGGCTATGCGGCCGTCGCCTCAACAACGCTAGCCATGCTGGCTGATATGTGGACGAATGCCATGCTCGTTTCCATGGGTATCACTAGGCGTTGTCGACTGAGGGATGGTGTGATGGGCTTATGAGCCGTAGAGGATGCTTTGGAGAGAGAGAGAGACAAGGAATAGACAGAGAGAGACACGAGGAATGAGAAGAGAGGGGAAAAAGAGAACGAGACGAGGAGACGACGCAGGCGCTGTCGCCCATGACGTTACACAGTGACACTGATGTGATCCGGGAAAGTAGATTATCACCAGAGTCGTTTCAAAAGAACTGAACACCATCGTAAAGGGGCAGAGTACAGGTTGGCCGTTGACAATACATCTCGGAAACGTTCCATGCGAGGGCGCATCGAGCGTATACTTCCTCCTCGCGGGCAATAATTCACTGGCCGCGTCATGCCTATGCAATCATGAGACTCACTTTCAGCTCCGGGTAAATATTTGGACTCACTTCCACGGAATACAGGGGCGAAAAGAGTGGGCTGCGAGCCCTTGTATTTCGAGAGTGGCGAAACCAACGCACGGGCGGTGAGCGAACGAACGTGGCAGCGAGTTCTTAAACATATATATATTCTCGAGCGCGCACTGATTTACATCTTCAGACGGGGAGAAAGCGAGAGTTCTCCATCGATGGGCGGCCAATGAATGTGGTATGTAAGCAACATACTGTAAACATCCAATTTCCAACTGAACTCTCCATCTTAGTCCCTATCAGGGATCCATCGGGATGGCCTGGACTTTGGATTCCTCCTCCATTCCTCGAGAAATTGGCTCATTGTCTGCCAGCGCACCTTGGCTTTCCTAATCTCTGTTCGCTCATCAACATTCCGTCCATGGACTCGAGCCTCATCTACATCCACATATGCAAGGTTGGGGAAAATAGCCACCAAGCCCCTCAGCATGACCAACGTAAAGTCAATCGGAGCGACGTAAACCTTCAATGTAGTTAGTAGAGCGTTCTTTTTGTCTCTTCTTCTTGGGCTCCATTGAGTGCATGACTTCTGACCTCCATTGATGGCTAGTCCGAGAGCTTGGAGATTTTGCACCTTGCCAACAAAGTAAGCGAGCCCTGACAGGGTCACCCATTCAACTTCCTCCAAGGTGTAATTGCGTCGCTCAATGTCCAAGTCAACTAGCGATCGCATATGATCACCGATATCGCATAATACTGTATCATTCAACGGCACATCAGCCGCAACAGCAATCCTGAGACGAGTCAGGCCTTTTAAGTTGAGGAGACGTCGGAAAGCCGGTACTGGCATTGGCCTATTTTCCTGACGAATTAACCTGCTCTCCTCCAAGACCAAAACACGGAGACAGCTGGCGGAGAGGGTGTTGGCCATTGCCGCCATCAGCTGGGAATCCTCTCCCCTACCCGCGTCACATTCGCCTAGCTTACACCTGAAATGTGCGAGCTGAGTAAGGGGATTCCCAAAGGTATCTAGGAGAGTCACTAGGCCTCGTAAATTGCCATCCGTGATAACAAGAGTACGCAGAAAGGTAAATGACAAGTTGGGGAGCGGACAGGAGTAGGGTTGAGGGACGTAGTCAGGTGACATTGGAATGTACAAAGAGACATGCAGTTCTCCAAGGACAGGGAACTTTGACACCGCCTCAAGTGCCATGACGGGGGAGTACGTGAAGCAGGGTGCACGGATTGACAAGAAATGTAGGTTTGGAAAGTGAGGTGCACTATGCTGGAGCAGTTTGGGGAAAACGTTTTGATTCTTCGAAAGCTTTTGAGGTAAGATGACCCTTGTAGACATTCCTCTTTGTTTGACAATCGGAAACGCCTCTGCAGTCTCTACGTGTAGAGACCGGAGCTCCGGTGCCATGCGACCAATGACTTGAACAATGTTATAATCCTGGCTGTTCAGCGACAATGAGGCACCATCCATACGAGGTGAAATAAGACTAGTAATGCCGTTCGGGATCTGGTCACTGCTGGACATAGTAATGGTCTGGAGACGTGGAAAAAGTGTTCCGCCAGCCATTGCTATTATGGGGAAGAAGTTGGGGTGTGTCAGAGGGAACTTAGTGCAGGTCAAGTGGCGAACACGAGCGGTGTAACTGTGCACCCGATCGTATTCTGAAGCCCTGATAGAGCGTCGAAGTCCCTTGATAGCATTCTGAGTGTCAGCGTTAGGCTACCTGTACCGAATAGTGTACTTACAACCCATGCCTGCCCCGATAGATTCTCTTTACGTATTGCCTTGCGCGTCAAGGACAAAAGGGGTCTAAGGTCTATGGATCTCCACAGTACGTTCATTGCCACGCTATGAAGCGACCGAGTCAGACCAGAGCAGCCGAAGTTCTTCACTGAACAATAATCAAGGATCTCCTTGCCGTCATTGGTCTGTGTGGTCATGTTCTCCAAGTACATCTCCAGAAGCTCTGGGACAAGTGCTTTCTCGGATAGGGCTTTAGGTAGTGGATTGACACCCGTAGACATGTCTGGAGAAGATGAGGTGGAACGTAAACAATGACATCGCAAGTACAGCAGTTTATAAACGCCTTCCATATTCGTTTCTGGCAAACAAGACACGCTTCACGGCGCTGGATTGGATATCAATGATGATTATCGATTATTATTTTGGTAAGATCAGTTCTCCCCTTTGCTCTCCTTCTTGCCTTATGGTGAACGAGGAGCAGTGCATTGACTATTTCACGATCAACCTGATTCACGCGCATCTGTGTTCGGTTCGCGGCCCTCCGTCGACGGAAGCAAAACTGGTTGAAGCATGCCTTTGCGTACCATACAGTTTATAACACACAATTGTGTCTACCCAGTCCTCAAAGAATCGTGATCTCTAGTTTCTAGCACAATGTCTAGTATACTGATTCATCCCACTTTTGGACAGACCCGTAAAGTATCCAGCTTTATACGGATGAAGTATATGACACGAGAGGTGGGAATCTTTGTAGCGCTCTGAACGCCACTCACTGCAGGCAAATGGCGATTTTCTCTGAGATGAAATCAGGAGAAAGAGGTGGCGAGATGAAAGCCTTTACCCTCGAGTTTTGTGTCCCTTTTTCACACAGAAAACGAGGGTTTATGAGTCAATTATAGGTCAGTCGATGCCCGTCCTAGGGTCAGAGCTGGCACTTTCCCACGCCTCTGACCCACGATGCGGAGGGCGCTGACCCACGGTGCTGACCCATCACGGTGCTGACCTTGGAGGGAGGTACAGGTGCATGTGCACGGTGTGGGCTTCCCGGAGGGACAGTGTGACACAGGTACACCCCACCATTGTGTCCCTCCGGGAAGCCCATGGTGGTGTGGTGCACCTGTGCTACTGTGTTCCTCCAGGAAGCCCATGGTGGTGTGGCACACCTGTACCACCATGGCCCTCCGGGACGGCCACTGGTGCACAGTCAGATACTAAGCAGCCATGCTGAGGTGTGGGAGTCGTACACCTATGCACCAGTGGCCGTCCCGGAAGGACACACAGCATGTGTGCACCTGGAACATCTGTGATGCACCACCATTTTATTTGTAAGATGTTTTATGGTATTTGAGTATATGTAGTATACTGTACCACACTCGGATGTTGTTCTGGTGTTCTGAGGCGTGGGAACGGAACACCTGCGCACTAGTGGGCGTCCAGGACGCCCACACAGCATGCAAGAACCCATAATATTTGTGGTGCATCACAATACCATTTGTACAACGTTTTATGATATAGCTGAGTATATGTAGTATTGCACTGCACTCGGACATTGTGGTGTGATTCTGAAGCGTGGGAATGGGGCACCTGTGCACCAGCGGGCGTCCTGGAGGGACGCGCAGCGGGTGTGCACCCGGAACATATGTGGTGCATCATAATCTGATTTGTACGGTGCCATGTGGTATATATGACTGCATGTGATATTTTCCTGCACTCGGACAGTGTCGGAGAGTGCTGCGTGCATAGGCCAGCACACTTGTACACCAGTGGCGTCCCGGACGCCCACATAGTGTTTATGCATGCTGAACGTATGTGTTGCATCACAATTTGCATATAGCTAGACATGTATATCATATAACAGTGTATATATGACATTATTGTACACCACGTACGCCTGTTCTTCATTCCTGCATGATATGTGGCCTTCCAGGACGGCCACTGGTGTACAGGTGCATGGGAATAGAGACATGTTATGGTCTGACAATGTCTGGATGCTGTACCATACTGCACGAGCCATATATAGCATATAACATTGTATGAATGTGAGTATGGTGGACTATATATGTTCTGGGTACATGCACGCAATGTGGCTATCTGGGAAGCCCACTGGTGCACAGGTGTACCATTCCCAGCATGATGACACAATGTCCGACTAGAGCATAATACCGCATATGCATGTATATACCATAGCGTCGTATAAATATAAGCTTCAGCTCTGTGCATTTCACGAAACGGGTGTACTGTCATCCACCCCCAGAATTGGCACCACCCCCAGGATTGGCAGTTCGCTTTTTTCACCGCGTTCCTCCGTAATCAATTACGACCTAAATTCTTGGCAATGTTGATTGTATGCCCCTTAATTATATAGTTCTAAATTTACAATACATAGAAACATCCCGATAATGAGCTAAGAGCTGTATAATGCGTGTATCAGGCCACTTTTGAAAAAAAAAAAAAAAAAAAAAAAAAAAAA